CGCCGTCCCAGCGGGGGACCTGAGGACTTATAACGCTAAAATTCAGGTTTCTGTACCCGCGGATGGCACGGCACAACCCATTTTGTCGCTTTGTGTTTAATAACAAACAAAGAAAAACCCATACATAAGTGTGTTTAGGTGTTTCTGTCTGTGTGTCGTTCGTTGTTCAGTATAATACAGAACATGAATACTGGTCTAAGGTTCTTGTTATACACTGCTTCGAGAACAGCACAGGTGGGACTGACAAGAGAGTTAGTGAATGCATTAAACATCTCCCTTTCCATTTTCTAACTCTCAAAAAAAGTTTTACCAGAATGTACTGCACGGTAGTTTTTGATGTTGTTTTGTTTTATTTCTGGCAGCTGAGAATGACGTCGATCTACACACGAAGCAAAACAACATACACATTGATTGTATGTAAAGTTAATTTGAAGCAGAGCCAATGACATGGTTTATACTATTATTATATCATCCAAAACGTAATGATAAACATGGGAGTTCTGTTGATTAGGGGTCTAGTTCACATTAAAGGTCTTACAACCAAATATATTAGGGATGGTAAGGAATAGGTGTGTCATTGTCATGGAAACAATTGGACTATACCACAATAACACATTTAATTTTAAAGAATGTGTTTTGAAACTACTACTACCAAGTGGCATTTCTTTTACGTACATGAGTAACTAACGTCATCATCATGTGTTTAAGCATGCGCAGAATACTATGAGTAACACCTCCTGGTGTGAAGTTGTATAAATCTATTATATATAGAGCGTAGGCATTTAATTTATTACATGCTCATTGAAATTTTCCAAAACATGCGTCATTAATTTTAGATAAATTGTTCTTCATTAATTTGGTCGAAACAGTACTAAAACGTAAAACAGTGAAAACGTACCACTGATAATAGTGTAGCTTCAATCTAAGATATTTTATTTCCGATTAAGACTGATTAATTAACACACATAAAATGTGAAACTTTACTTTTTTAAAAAGAGTTGCTAAAGTATGACATTAGAAATATTTATTCGAGATATTGTATGACTATGAAACTGTAGTAAAAAGCACGTCAAATCTTCTGTTGTTAGTGTCCATAGATATATAGGTTCTAAATAATAGTAATTAAAATCACAAGCGTGTTAACCCTCGAACAGATTCTAGAAGTAAGAACTAAAGTACTAAGCTCGTCAGACCTCATAACAGCTTCGAGTAGGTACTCAATATCTAAAACAGAACCTCCAGCATCTCAAACTTTCTGCTGGTAATATCCTTAAAACAAGGTTAAATATCAGGGGGTTAAGACACCAAATCAAAGGAATCTCCTCCTCCTAATATCGTCAAAAAATGTCTCAAACACACAAAAAAATGGTTAATAATAAATAAATATAATTACAATTCACTTGATTAATCTGATTCACACCTAGCAGTTGCTGTTTATGAAAACTAATGATATATATATGGCGCCTAAACTATTACTACTATGTCACGTCTGTCGTAACCCAGCCGGCGTAGTATTTGGCGAAAGGCCGCATCGGCACTGGATATAGTAGGTGTAGTGTGGTTCACATATTATATCATATTCTCCATTGCTTTCACTCATGGCTTAGAATTATATACTAATACATCATACAACTCAGACCACCTGCTACTACTGTCCACAAGGAGTTTCGGAAGATCAAGAACATTGAAATCCGGCTATTACTGCATCCTTCGAAAATTTTTGAATACCTGAAATTTCCTGCTAGATTTTCTCACAAGAGAAATTCTCACATCACCAACTTAAACCTAAAACAATTAAATTTTTCCAACTACTGATACTTTAAAAGATCAAGAACATTGAAATCCGGCTATTACTGCATCCTTCGAAAATTTTTGAATACCTGAAATTTCCTGCTAGATTTTCTCACAAGAGAAATTCTCATATCACCAACTTAAACCTAAAACAATTAAATTTTTCCAACTACTGATACTTTAAAAGAGGATTTAAGCAACAGGAGTTGAAACGTGACTTTGTTCCGTCGACGACAACTTAAATATTATTAACAACCATCTCCAAATTTTTGTTAATACACCACAGAAACGATGCTCCACACATATTCGGACTATACGTTTTGGCAAGACAATCATTTGTTAAAATATAAATATATTCCAACAAAAAGAATGTTGAAAATGTTTTTTACACTATATGAGCTTTCACGAATCTCCTGTTTGCTTGTTTAAGATACAAAACAGTTAGCTATCAACTAATAAGCCTATTTTTCGCAGCATATGAATTTAGTAATGTTGGTAGTCTAGTTGCTTTCGAATGTTATTATAAGACCATAGTTGGATCGCTAGGATATAAGTTGTATATGTGCATCTCATAATCTTTTAAAAACGGCTACTCTTACTAAATATATTTAGACGTTCCTTTTACATATTTATATATTAGATGTACTTCCGTAAGGTCCCCGAAAGTGTTCTGTTTCAAGAGTAAATGAAACCAAAATTAAGAGTAACAAATATTTCTATTTCTTGCTTTTCATGTGTTGTAGCATACAGAGTGCATAATTCTTCTCCTGATTCATGGCACGCGCACGTTTTAATGATGTCACGACAGTACAAATTGCAACATTAAGCGTTCCTTATGTGACGTCATTTTAGTGTCTACTGACTGGCTGACAGACAACACACTATAGTATAGTGGTGCGAGTGCTTAAAACAGGTGACTCTTCCAGGCGGCCTTCGGTCCACCTTTTGGGGAAATAAACCGAACATTCCAGCTAGAGTAACTTTTTATCCACACAGCCAAACAATATATTTCTAACTGAAACGTACGTTCTTGTTCAACTAACTTACGAATTAAAACTAAATAGGGCTTTTTTTTTCCTAGTAATAATTTTTTCCACATCTAAATATGCACTAAGGAATAATCAGGCGCTAAAACGTCTGATAATGTTTAAATATTCAATATCGAGCTATCTAGCACTAATTTGTGCACAGAGGACTCAGGTAAATGAACTCTTTTGATGCAGCTGGATATTCACGCATGCGTGTTTAATAAATATTTGCTTCTTTTTTTTTCTTTTTTTTTTTCAGCGCCGATGTGAAACATCTGTTTAATAGTAATGTAATTTCTTATTAACCCTTCAATATCGAGAAAACTACCTTGTCTTCCCCGTCCCTACCTTTTGGTTTTGTGTTCTGTTATTTTTATTACATTAATTAATCGTTCACTTCTCAGCTAGTATACAGATAATTATATATATATATATATGAAAGAAGCTATAAATCGTACATGCCCCCCAGTTAGCACAGAGGTATTTCTGCGGAATTACAACGCTAGAATCCAGGTTTCGATACCCGTGGTAGGCAGAGCACGGATAGCCCATTGTGTAGCTTTGTGCTTAATTACAAACAAACAATAAATCGTACATTCACATTCCATCACTTATACGAACAATTACACACACAAAGCTATGCGATTTGTGTGTAAATGACAATATATAATTAGCACAAGAAGAAATATAGACTTACAGTTGCACTTTCTCGTCACGATCACTCTCTTTAAGTCGTTAATTCAAGAGTCCCAATCAAATATTTTATGGTATCTTATGTGAAATCTTTTTAAAGGAATTGTCTTTATTAAGATATGCGTGTCTATGCCCAACGTTACTAATAAGTGCTATTAGCGTATAAGCCCAAGTTCAGCTTAAAATAAAAACAAAATATCCAATCGACTGTCAGAAAAGAAAAAAAAAGACACATGGTTAGTGATAGATGCAAAGATTCGAGAAATGGTGACTAAACTCCCGATAGAATTCGTTATTGTTATTGTCATCATTTGATTGTAACTTTTACTAATCTAATCACTGAAAAAATGTGACGAATCTCTTGTCTTTCTAGTCACGAACATTGATGAGGTACTTTAAATTCCGAGGTTGGCGTGGCTGTAGTCATGAAGAACATACTTGTACGTTGACGCCTGAATCGGGTGAATGTTCCTACCCACCACCATTGGAAGTTGGTTTTCAAAGAGCTTGATTAAACCGTGATTCAAACTTTTCAAAAGGTTAAGCTGTCACCGTGCATATGTAACTTAACAACAATTTTTTTTTTTTTACCAGTTTAAGAACATTATATTACAAAAACTTGATAATTCCAAACATTAGTAACGTTGATCAAGCTCATTACAAAAGATCAGAACTAAAAATTAATTGAGGAAATATCGTTGTTGTTTAGCAAAAAGCTACAGAATGGGCTACCTGTGCTCTGCCCACCACAGGTATCAAAACCCAATTTTTCCTGTCGCAAACCTGCTGACTCACCGTTGAGCCACTTTGGGGCAACTTAGTAAATAGTATAGATGCTTTTACATATCGGCCTGACTGACAGTATGTAATGTCATAAAACAGATCTATAGTGAGTAGAATGCAGTGATTCATCAGTTGTGTACCGTCGGTATCATCAACAATTTGGGCTGTAATCCCAATATCTCACGGGTTTCGGACAACTTAGAAAGATTATTAGTCCTAAGTCCATATACTAATTTTAAAATGCAAAATAGTATTCATAAATCTCAAAATAAAATGATAAATAAATTATATATATATATACATAACTAACACTGCTTTTGGAAATAACTTTAAACAAGTAAAGAAAATTAGTGCTACTTTAGAACGTTGACAGTAGTCTAGAACTCGCATACTACAACTACAATTAAAACTTCTGAACATAAATCTAATCTTTATGATATCGTTCTTCTTCGTTCCAATGCTTTATGAGCGAGACAAAATCTTGAAATGTATTTTAATTTCACTCTCTCACTTATATAGTTTGTAGTGCTTAAAGTACTTTTATTTGTGTGGATGATATCATGAAGGTATCCCGGTTTTATATGTTACAAGTAAACTATTGTTCGAAAATAAGTCTTGACACTAAGAAACACCTTATTTATGATAATTGGCTTTGTTTGTTCGAAGTTAAACACAAAGCTACACAATGGGCTATCTGTGTTCTGCCCACCACGGGTATCAAAACCCGGTTTCTAGCGTTCTAAGCGTGCCCCTTGGGGGATGATAATTAGCTCAATGAACCGTGTCTGACTGAAGTTTCTGATAATTTATTATTTGAAATAAGCAGTGAGTGAAATCCTGTAGACTAATTTCTTATAAAAAACAGATGTTTCAAATTAATGCTGATATTTTTATAAAAGTGTACTCCTTGCTCAAAATATCTAAGGTCCTGGGTATCAAAATTATAGAGTTTCTATTTACAAATAGAGGGCGTCGCATTAAATATAATGTAACGCCATCAATGCATGTGATTATGTTTGTTCATAAGCACACCAGAAGCCATTGAAGTTCATAGTTGCTCTTCTATTAGCATTTACCTTTTTATGTAGTCAAACAATGGATTAAGATCTTTATTAGCCTTTACCTTTTTAAGTAGTCAAACAATGGATTAAGATCTTCTATTAGCCTTTACCTTTTTATGTAGTCAAACAATGGATTAAGATCTTCTATTAGCCTTTAACTTTTTATGTAGTCAAACAATGGATTAAGATCTTCTAATAGCCTTTACTTTTTTAAGTAGTCAAACAATGGATTAAGATCTTCTATTAGCCTTTACTTTTTTTAAGTAGTCAAACAATGGATTAAGATCTTCTATCAGCCTTTACTTTTTTAAGTAGTCAAACAATGGATTAAGATCTTCTATTAGGGAAACATGAATCCTCGGATTCACAGTCCGAGCATGCTAACAACTTGACCATGTCAAGCCCCCAAGATGTTGATTGACAGGAGCATGCAGATTAGAATCACGCTAATAAAAGATCCTAATCCATTGTTTGACTACTTAAAAAGTAAAGGCTAACAGAAGATCTTAATCCATTGTTTGACTACTTAAAAAGTAAAGGCTAATAGAAGATCTTAATCCATTGTTTGAGTACATAAAAAAGTAAATGCTAATAGAAGATCTTAATCCATTGTTTGACTACATAAAAAGGTAAAGGCTAATAGAAGATCTTAATCCATTGTTTGAGTACATAGAAAAGTAAATGCGTCCCGTTGTTGCGTGAGTGCGCTATGTGATTGCATGTTAAATCCAACTATTCAGTTAAAGTAGACCAATATTTGGCGGTGGGTGCTGTTGACCAGCGACTTTCCCTTTAGTTTATCAGTTCAAATTTAGGGACGGCTAGCGCAGACGGCTCTTGTCAGCTTTGCGCGAATATACGAAACAAACAAACATCCTAGAAATTTTATAGTACGTAAAGAAATGTTCTGTACGACTAGTAAACACAACAGTGAGGAGTTTGGGTAATTCTAACACTATAGATTATCGTCCACAAGAAACCTATGGAATTTTAGAACCCCATAAACAATCGCACGTAGTACGGAGAAAAACAGACCAGAAAGAATGCATAGTTTTAACTACCAATAGAAAGCAGATAGTTCCTGTGTTGCTTTATAAAAAAATTCTAAGACAAACTCTCGATATTAGAAACGCAAGTAGTAAGTAGTAGCCTAACGTAAGAAATCATTCTTAATATTGCATTCTAAACTGTAAACAACCTTGAAAACGTTGCTCCTATTCTACTAACACGAACAGACTGTTTTCCATATAACGAATTAAAAACATTCTAAAACTATATACAGCCTTTAAGAAATTTGTCCTATTCCACTAATACGAACAGACTGATTTCCATATGATGAATTAAAAACACGGCAGAGCTGTTCAGGTAAGACGTTCAGTAGGACACCAAACCCTTATAAGTAAATGTGGCTAAATTACACCTCCACCCTCATAATTACATTGACACTTCGTGCTTGGAAAGCAAAGCGATTGCACACACGTCCCAGAGTTATAAGTACACCAGTGGGATAACTAGAATTATAAAACTACAAATCACAAAACTGTCAGAAGTATAAACTGAAAGTGGCGAAGTTATATCAAAGCCTATAGCTTTAAGCTTCTTAAGTACGAGGTTTGGGAAACACGCTATATTGAACTTATATACTTATATATATTTTTTATTACTTTTGTTTTTACAATGAGACAATAAACATGAAATATAAACTTGTACGAGTGTTGGATTTATACCTTTGCGACCAATTAAAGTTAAGAATATACTTCTGCAATTACAGGAATAAAAATTAAACCTTTAGGACTATTGGAATTAAAATTAAACTTTTACAAGCATTGGAATTAAAATTAAACCTTTGCGACTATTAAAATTAGAATTAAACCTCAGTAACTATTGGATTTAAAATTAATCCTCTTCGACTATTGGTTTATTTGTTTTAGAGCAAAGCAACATTGGGCTATCTGTTGTGTCCACCGCGGGGGAATCGAATCCCGGATTTTAGCGTTGTAAGTCCGTAAATTTACCGTTGTTCTACCGGGGGACTCAACTATTGAAATTGATGAAATTAAACTTCTGCGACAATTGGAATTAAAAATTAAACTTCTACGACTATTAGAATTAAAAATTAAACTTTTACGTCTATTGGAATTAAAAAATTAAACTTTAACGTCTATTGGAATTAAAAATTAAACTTTCACGTCTATTGGAATTAAAAATTAAACTTTCACGTCTATTGGAATTAAAAAATTAAACTTTAACGTCTATTGGAATTAAAAATTTAATTTCTGTGACTATTGGAGATAGATAAAAACTTTGAAGAAGTTGATTTTCTTACACTTGATAAGCGTTGTTCAAGAGAGTTTTATCTTGATTTATGAAACCAGAAAAAACATTTATAAGTATCACATGGCATGAACTTTTAAAAACATTATCTTGTCCTGAAGTTTTTTGTTGGTTTATAGAAGGCATGGAAATGAGGAGATACTTTGATTTACTTCAAGTTCTCAATTTTTTTAAGGAAGCAGATAAACTGATTTCTAACTGGCATTCTTTACCAGCATTGGCCTTTGACCTGTAATCTTCCCATCCCTCTTAATTCGGGGCAAAAATGTGCTAATAGCTGATTAAAGTAGTCTTTATGGCATGTCAATCAAGAGAAATGAAGAAACACAATTAAGAAAGTTAAGATGAGGAGCTTGTGTTTAGGATTACATAAACTTGCAGACTGAATATTTGAAACAAGCTCTGACTTAGGACCAATCTTCATTCTTATTCGCTGGACAACAGTAAGTCAGATTCTGATCTAGATTAGATGATATTAAAAGTTCCTACTAACTGAATCATAACAAAACTAAGATTTTGATAAGAAAATACACTTCTAAAAAACTTTAATTACCCTTCTATCTATAATATGTCAGTAAACGTAGTATATTCATAACTGGCTTGATTTCAAACATGTAATTAATTTGACGTGGTCACTGACCTTTCTTTTTTTCTTGCCGAAAAATTAGAAACCCCGTTATTTATTTGTTTTGGGGCTCTTCCAAACAGTAAACAGTCAACTAAACATGTGTTATTTGACTATTGCACCATAGCGTGACAAGATTAATGGGGTTTGGCTATCAGTCTTGTAGCAGACGCACAGCCCCAAAGTGCGAGGTTCGTATATGTGGCAATAGATCGCCAACCCTGAATCCTCGGAATCACAATCTGGACACACTAACCACTAAATCACACACGACCTAGAGAATATGCCTCATTTGCCTATTGCACCATAACGTTACAATATTTCTTGTGCCTCGTTATTCATTAAGATGGCGAACATTATGCATGTGTGTGACTTCGAAAGAGACATTATCATTGGAGCCCGATTAATTGAAGCCTCTACAAAGAAATAAAATCAAAAAGTGACTTTAACGTAAGTGACTAACAAATAAAATCATAATATTTAGAACCAATCCATTTCAATAATAATATTGCACAGGGAACTGCAAGAAGTAGATTTTTATAAGCGTTGTCCCGTTCGAAAAACCAAAGAGAGGCGCTCTTAAAAGCTAGTGCCACAGCGATATGTCTGCGGACTTATACCGCTAGAAACCGGGTTTCGATACCCGTGGTGGGCAGAGCACAGATAACCCTTTATTTAGCTTTGCGCTCAATATGACTAGATTACACATTTCCAGCTGTTAACAGAAGAATGTGTATTGAGATCAATATGACTAGATTACACATTTCCAGCTGTTAACAGAAGAATGTGTATTGAGATCAATATGACTAGATTACACATTTCCAGCTGTTAACAAAGTTTCATGAGGCTGTCGCCAAACTTTAATTCTCCAATTTGTACAGAAGAATGTGTATTGAGATCAATATGACTAGATTACACATTTCCAGCTGTTAACAGTCCAATCCTGACTGTCTTTGTACCAGTTTAAGAGAGTTGTTGTTTGTTATTATTCTCAATACACATTCTTCTGTACAAATTGGAGAATTAAAGTTTGGCGACAGCCTCATGAAACTTTGGAGCTCTCTGTTTTGTTTCTACAGGTTTGAGTGTTTTATATTAAAATTATTTTGAAACTCACGTGAAAACCACAGCCGATATAAAGTCGTGGTGGAATGGTATGTATTAGAGCTACATTTTAAAATTGTTTGACGTTTCGTAAGTAGTTTTATGCTATAGAAAGCTGATCGCTTTGTCAAAGGTATATAACAGTCCTTTCTAATGAAAATTATGCATCCAATCAGACCATAAAGATTTGTTCAGCTGAGAGATTTAGAATTTGAAAGACGGGGATTTCCCCTGTACATAATAACTTTGGAAAATATATAAATATGGATCAACATGGGGGATCAGAAACATCCAGAAAGAAACCTGCAATGTGTCGTGTCCTAGCTGTGGTAAGAAAGGTGCGTCGTCTTGTAACAGGTGAAAATCCATGAACAGAAAGTTCATGTACCAGGCAACACTATGCAGCGTAATCAAAAAGGATCTCTGTCTGGAAATTAGTTCAAAAGGGTATGGGTTCAGAAAGATCAGGCTTTTTGCCATATCTCCCATTCAACATTCGCAAACCTGGAGCAGCTGAAGAATTAACCTGGTATTCATGTGACTCCATAGAAAGACATACCCGTCATATCGCCGAATGTAGTACCTATGGATTTTTGTACGATAAGACTGTTTGAAATTGGCGACGGGAAACTGTTGTCTACGTACACTAGGAGAATTATGGAAAGCGTGCATGCAAATGGACGAAAATCGAACTACAGAAATGAGTGGAGTCTATGTCACAATGGATTCTAGCTGTAATAAAAACATGACGTGATTTAACCAACTGTTAGCATAGGGTTCCTAATTTTCGGGCCAGGCAGTATACATTTGCCCAGAAAGTCTTCATTTTATCCAATAACACAACTCATAGCATGTAAGTACTTGTTTCCATAATACAAAGCAATAATGCTGATATATAAATACATATATATAGAGAGATGTAGAGATTTTCCAAAGGCTTAAAAGTGTACATATGACTCAGCTGTAGACTGTTTGATTACCTAATTTATCCAAGACTATCATAACTAAATGAATAATGTTGGTTTTACAAATAATGTACTTTTTACAATAGAGAAACGTTGTGATAGTGCTATTTCACACGAAATACTACAAAGTGAATCCCCCTAGAACAAAAACGCTGTCTGTCAGTTACTGAATTTATTCCATAAAACAAATCATAAAATCCATTTCTCAAAATGAAATTCTTACAAATATATATATATACATTCAATAAAATGAAATTCGTTGGTTGTTGTTGTTTTTGCAAGTAGTAATTCGAAAAACTGGTTGCGCGTTTTTCTCAAACTGGATAAAACTATTCACATATTTTTCTTCCACAAACTAGTGATTTAAAAAAAATAACAGTTGAATAAGTAATTTTCTGTATCAGATGTGATTATTAACCTATAGCTTTTCCTACAATGGAAATATTTTATATTTATTGACGAAAAGCAAAGTAAATAATTATTCTAGGGATGTCTTTTTTGACAACACAAAAAGAAAATTAAAATCATTCAAGAAAAAGTATACTACGAGTAGATAATACAGAACGCAACTGTGTTTTGTTTGTAATATTTTGCTAAAATTGTAATCAGTCAGTTAAACTGTGCTGATATTTGTCATGTCACCAATAAGCTGACTGATAAAGTTTTACGTATTCCTATTACTTATTAAAAATTCACTTTTAAACCTGCTACTTTCAAAAATAAATTAGTGAATTTATATTATTAATATTAATAGCATGTTACACGAAAAATTCAGTTGCAATTAAATTTAATAATGCTTTGGTAAAAAATTAATATAAGTCAGCTATAAATTCTGCTAAACAGAGATGATTATCACAGACTTTTCGATTTCCGGGTATTAGATAATAATCATTTTATTTTTGCGTGACCAAGAAACTTTAAATTTCACACAATCTGCGTCAGTTCACACTTT